TTTAGTTAAACACCAGCTCGACGTCTTGACGGTTCAATATCGTGTCTGTTCGACGAAGTGACGTTCAACGAATTTTCATCGACGAAATGGCGGGTGACGGAGTTTCCGACAAGTTTTCCTTCATATTTCCTTTATTACCGAATTTAAAATATAATAAACATTCAGAAATTTAAATTTACAGTATGACGAAACTGCGAGTGCCTTAGTTTAAAGTTGAGCAATATTTGAGTATAGTTACAGATACAAGAAACACCGATTTCCTTTAGGAAATCTTATTCAAATAAAACGCAACAAAACCGAGCATGCTGTGGCGACAACTTGAGGAAACACTGGAGAAGCCCACATGTATCAACTGAAAAAACAGATTTTTCTGCCGGTACCATGTTACTGCGTATAAAGCCAGGTCACCGAGTTAACAATTGAAAGATTCAATCTTTTGTTATGGATATGCTGGAGTCTCCGACCATACGACCCGTATGACCGTCGCTTCATTTGGCAAACTCTTACTTCTGCGGTTTAGGTTTATAGTCCCCCGGCTTGGCGATGCTTTTGTTCTGGTACGCATTGGCTAAACTTTCGTTATTGCATCCATCTGTGGTGCATGTTCGGATATACATAAACGCTGATGTTAACCCATGAGGATCAAAAAGTGACATGGACATCTTATCCGCGTGCTCTTCAATGCAGTCTCTAAATACTTCGACCATTCCTGAAATAATAGATATTAGCAAAACTTTTGAAAAACACTTTAATCGTCTGTTTAACTCTGGCAATGCCAAAAACTCTACAATCTCAGTCAACTTCTTCAGTTTACTTAGAGACGGTGCAATAAATAGTACGCTTTAAAAAAACAAGCTAGCAGTTTCAGTTTCTCAAAACAAAGTTTGCCTCTACCAAGGCATCAGTTACACAGAAGCAAGGCGGGTTGGTTTTAGCAGCTCTCCTGCGAGCTTACTCATGTTTCCCGGGCGAACTGCATAGCTCGCTGCAAAAGTCGCGCAGCCAATCGCTTTGGGGTAGCAGGCCTTATTTATGATCCCCGATACCGTCTCACAGTTTACTCTATTTTCTTTGCTGGCTTGGCAGTAATGACATGATAGCGCTGCAAAAGAGCGAAGTATGTATTCACAGAACACTGGGAATAAACTTTAGAAAATTCGTGGTGTGGTGTATAGTGCGCTGCGTTGGTCCGTACGTCACGGTACGTGTACTTGCATTATACGCCACAAAAACAAAGCATTGTTGGGGGGACCACTAGCAGTGGAAAACGGGAATGGTTTGGGAAACGATGGCCAGATATTTGTTTTCTCAACTTTGACTGAATGCAAAGAGGATTTACCTACAAAATGGTGAGATGCGATCCTTTCTGGCCTCTATGTACAGTCTGTGGTCCTAACAATTCATGAAACAAAGAACAACCTTTGAAACCAAAAGTTGAATGAGGAAGTTTCTTTGGTTTTTGATGTAATCATTGTAATGTTCACTGTTGTGTATGTTTTCTTCTAGAAAGCTTATATGCCGAAACTCCAATGTTGCACAACAGATTAAACTCCATATAACTGCGAAAATCACTTCTCGAAAAGTATTTTTTGCGTTTTATTTGAAACAGTTTGAACTTTTCTGTTTATAGCATGTTTCGATATATCAGCTTTCTAGAAACTAACATACACATCAAATGTACATTGCATCAATGACAAAGAAAATTTCTCATTCAACTTTGGTTTCAAAGTTTTTTTCTTTGTTTGATGAATAGCTTGGTCTTGATTGAGGCCAGTGAGGATCGCGTCACACCGTTGTTTAGCTACCCTCTCTGCGTTTACTCGAAATTGAGAAAACAACGGTGTCTGCTTGATGTACGAAGCAGCGAATTCGTGATGTGCCCGCTGCACCATCCATGCCTGCGTACGATGCCCACATGTGCTGTCCGCTGTGGTTTACAGCGATGGCCCGGTCAGCAAAATGTACAAACGGTTATGGTCTAATCCACCAATTTGCTGTTGCAAATAACGTTCAAAATTACAACAAAAACACGTATCAAGCAACCACTCTCGGTGGCTGCTGGTACAGATTTTCACGCATTCCCAATGGAAGCGATCAGTTACTTGCTACTTTTTTCCTTATTTCTATATTTTCCCCTTTTTGGGCAATAAACTCTTATTTTTGTGGGAGACCGTGTTCTTCCACACCCAGATTCATCTGTATTTCAAGGGGGTGTTAGACCTTCCTCGTGGCAATTTGTAGCTATTGTTTCCAAGCCATCTCGTTTTCCCAAACCCCGCTTTCTAGTGCTAGGGTCTCCTTAAACCGCTACAGAATACATTTCAGCTACCTGTTGTTAATGATAAAAGCACGGCGCAAACCATGCAGGCAACAAGCCAACCGGTGCCAGTCATTGGGCTTGAGGCAGCAACAAACAAAAAGAATTCGTAGAAACCAGCAAGTAGAAATGAGTATGTCCTACGGGACGATCGTCGAAACAAGTGGACGTTGACTGAGGAGTAAAAGCTGCTGAAATGTACCATTAGCACTGTACTGCTCAGGTAGTGGCATATATAGTGGCGGGTGCAGCAACATCAAGTTTAGATGGCCCGACATAATTACGTAAACAGAATAAGTGCAAAATTATTTCTTTTTGGTATTAAATGAAAATAAATTTTTCTGCAACTGGTATCGGACACCACTGTTGCTAGAAAGCAGAGAAGTGATACTTACCTACTTGATACAGGGACTGCAGAATATTGTATATGTACTTACTGTTGGAAATTATATTAGCATTACGCATTGTGGATGTGTAACCTAATAATTATCTGATCATATGCACCCAGCCCAGTACACTGATCTCTAACCGGTGATACATACGGGCCAAGTCCTGTGTCAATGAATGTGTTTACTGTTTACCGTACCCTGTGTTGTACTTAAAGCCGTGTCAGCAGCTTTGATTACTCGAACATTGTGTATCAGTCTAATGAACAATACGACGGGAAGTGTGATAGTTACCGTACGCTGCTTACTGTAAGGTGAAGATACCACACAAGTTATTCGAATGCTGATTTTAGCGGAAATATTGGTACAGTCGAAATATTCGTACAGCTGAATCCTTCGCCGTTTTCCCACCGTCACCAGCAAATGTTGTTAACGAGACATTCGTTCAGGTGCTTTCTGAGCTTAGCGGATGACAACTCAATTGTTGCCGCGTTGCTGTTAGCTAATATACCTCTTCAGCAAAGGCTATGACAATATCTCACAATCAATATAAAGTTTCGACTGTTGTTGAACTCCACGGTTTGTGACGGTCAAAAGATCACTTTCACTTCGACAGATACGCCGAATGAGTAAATCGACGACATGCGGGGCGTGTTGCTACAAAATCAAATCCTCTGTCATCGTGTAACTAAACTGACAAGCGAGCTTAGCGGATGCCAGATACTGCAGCTTCGTAATGTTTACAGATTTAGCGGTTGCTGTTGGCATTTTTGCACTAGAGTTAGTACGATTTAGCCTAAATCTGCTCATTATTTGGTTTTGGTTAGCGCAGAGTATCAGTTCCGTTTGTAAATCCTTGCACATACAAGTGCCCTTTTGTTGTGGACCTATTACGCCGTGGCGATGTGAGCCGCGAAGCAATCCGTTTTTAATTTTTTAACGTGTTTGTGAACATTTGTTTGAAAAATCCTTATGGCCGTGATCTGCTCATGTATTATTGATAAACTCCCATGGATTTCGTGTTGTCAATTGACTGTAAACTAACAAAATAATTTAAAAAATGAAATGTACTTTAAGGTCAAATTTCGGTTTGAAGGAGTAAAAAGATCTCCATACTGATGCCGTATCAGCCGTGGTTTTTATTTCAGAAATACTGACTGTAGTTGCCGGTACTGAACCATGCCGTAAGTAAAACATCGGTCCCGATAGTCGGAGTGTATAGTTTATGAGGCTTCACACCGAAACAGTTGAAACCTGTTTTTACATCGGTTGAATTGCCTGCGGGATCAACAATGACTATGCCGGGCAGCTCCATATCCAGGGGAGAATCACAGAACGCCTGATATGTGCTCGATGCTGACGCTTTTCTGAAACATGCGCGACCGGGATAAGCAATGTGCTCCTGAACATGCCCCAGGTGACACCAACTTGCACCATGTGCCCAGGCTATTTTCAGCTGTCGCAAAGTTGCCAACAGTGCATTGTAATAATCCCGGCAAATTATTTCCGCGCTGCTCTTGGTGAATCCTGACAAAGGGTTTTTTGCACGTATGAAGAAAACTTCTCGTAAGTCCGTCTTGTGACCGACATTGAGATTAGATTTCAGCACGCCTTGTACCGATGATATTCTGACCTGGGTGGATTCGATGGTAGATTTTTGCCGCAATTCAGCTAGATTGGCGCGCTTCAAGTCCATCGATTTTGGGATGATTTTATCTCCTATAACTATGACTTTGTTCTTATTAACACGGGCGTTCAATGACTCATTAGTTTCTTCATTGGCGCTCGCTGTGGCAGTTTTGGATCCTTCGCAGTGTTCAACGGAGATAGAGCCCTTATCCGGTACGCCAACCTTTGCATTGCCGCACTCTTCTTTGCTTGTAGAGTCTGCCTGACTCTTCGCCCAAGCTTCTTTTTTTTCAGTTGACATTTGGTCATATTGGTCTTGCAGTTCACGCGCCACGCGATCCGGACGGCCGTTTTCATCGCTCCAGAATACCGAGTTCCACATCTGTGGCTGAAATTTATTCGTCTCCACCTGCTGAAAGTTGAGCGCTTGGTCAATCAGCGTAACGATTGTGGGCATGTTCTCCTTTGTTAGGAATTCTGCATCGGAAACCTCCGCTGCCATGACGTTCCCCATAACTTCCATTTTAATTTGCTTCGCATCACTTGCCCCGAGATAGGCATAATCTTGGTTTTTGAACCGCTGATTGAGTTCAGTAAACATCTGGGAATTATGGATGTTTTCCACAGTAACCCGCAGTCGCCTCGCTGCGCTCTTCTGTGACTGCATGGTATACTGCACTTCAACGTTCGCAACAAAGTCAGTTGGATATTCACGAATATTGTGAGCGAGTTGCTCGCAAATCGTCATCGACGTGCAAAGCGCTCGGAAGCTGATAGTAGCCGGTTGGGTGGCATAACTTTTCCACATACTGTCGATTTCGATATTGGAGTCCATACCTGTATTTGGAAGAATTCGCATTTCCTCCACCGGAATAACTCGAACCTCATTTACAATAAGATTTAATTGTGATTGGAGTTCTCTGCGTATATGAGCGACCATCCGGTCAGAGTACATGATTACGTCAAAGCGCACTTCAAATCTTCTATCAAATCTGTTTGGAGCCATCGTTGTTGAGGACGCGTTTATAAATAGAGCCGGGGCGAAATAATACTCCCCGTCGTTTTGCAATAGTTTTTTGTACACCAAAATACGGATACCGGAATAAGTCACTGACGCAACGGCTGTGCGCGAGATTTGGTATTTTCCCCAGGATCCTGCCACAATAGCTTCCTCCGCGACAATGCCATCTGCAGGAATTTATGATATTATCCCACAAGACTTTGCTGTTTAAAAGAGTATCTGTGCATGCATGTTTAGAAAAAGCTTCAAAGTTGACGGAGCTTGATTATCAAAAAACGGAAACATTAAAGCATTACCCAGTGCTCTTTTGCGTCCCAAAATGCCTTCTGTGCCGTTGTCGTCATTCCGATAACCTAAAAATATGCAACAGTTATCAACATCTGTAAAAAAATTCACGAGCGACATGGTCACGTGGAGTGCTCGTCCCAATAGTCGCTTAGGTTCTTCCTTATTTGGCGATGCTTTGTTTTCTATGTATCATTCTTTTATTGTTCCACGTGCGAATTACTTTGATCATCAGTTGTGAAATTTAGCCTTCGGCTAGTTTGTTTGTTGCATTCCCATATTATAATGCTAGCGCATTCTATTGTAGAGCAGAAAATAGCCAATAAAGGTTCAACTTCAGCTTTGTCGCCCCGCCACAAAGCTGACATGTGTTGCAAAACGCATAGCCACGTTGCAATTAAGGAGTATTTTTATTGGCAGGAGACTAAAGGTGGCAGCGGCACCTGCCACTGGCAACTGCCACCGACACTGGCAGTGTACTGGCAACCGATAAAACATGGCAGCTGTCGCTATGCCAGAATCCGTACACGGTGATTCTGACACACCAATAATTATAGGTGTACTACGATGGTGTACTATGTTTTTGCAAAAGATTAGATTTTTCTCCTTTTGGACCCGGAAAATGTTCTCTGGTTAGAAATATCTGGAAATATTTAGAAATATTCAGAAAGTACTCAAGTTCGAAAGCATTTCAATAGATCAGAGCACTTCAGTTCGACTCAACAAGCTAAACTGTACATATACAGTGGAAACATCGGTGCTGGCTCCGGGGACCGAATCCAGGTCCAGAGTACTTCAGTTCGAATAAGCATGTTGATTTGTTTAGGAAGCACGAAGAAAATTGTCGGCGACCCAAAGGTCACCCGATGAACCAAAGGTCATGGGCCTCTGTTACAGAAAACTAAAATGTCATCAATCAGGAACGCGTGCTCCCTTCCCTCGCCCGCTGTATAAAAGGGTAGCTGGCTTCGTTCGAACATCTTTTGCGCAAAAAGAGTTGAACTTTCGACTTTAAAAATTCCTTCCTTCTTTTTGACGATAGAAATTTCCTCTTTATCTGGGGGTGTTTTGATTTTCGAAGAAAATAGCTGAATTTCTGAGAATTCTAATGTTACCATGTGTATGCTGACCTGAAGCGGACGTGTTCGGGAATCTCCCTCGTCAAATGTACTGTATGTATTTCGGATTTTCGGCAGTTGCCTTGTTTTACCACTTGCCATTACCTGTACTGATACATGACACTGCCGCCTGTTATCCCTTGCCTTTTTGTGCTAACGATTACGTAGTACTGGAAACTTCAAAGCATGAAATTAAATCTCGAGACTTTCTGGAATTACTCTTTTGCCTTTTGACATATTTTCGATGAATTTCCGTGTTACTTCCAACAGCGCTTTCGTTTATCTCTTTAAACAAGAAAAGCAGGCTACTAGAAGCACTGTCAATACTGTTGCTTACTTGCTATTACTGCTGTTACAAATATCTTACCTGACCTCGCGCATTCAAGCAATGAGGGCATCCGGGGTTGAGCATAAGGATGCCCGATAAGATAAGCACAATAACCATAGAAAAAAGTAACATACCATAAGCACATGTTTCGTGAAAAATGGTTGTCGTTTGGGAAAGGGATCGTCTTCCCAAAGCTCCCTTTTGATAAATCTGAATATTATATTGGTTTGTTTCATTTCTCTTGAAGGCAGAAAATACCCTTTTAAAAAACGGTTCTGAAGCCATTTTCAGGTAATTGATTGAAAACAAAAACGCTTAAGTTAGGCAAATTACTACAACCTATGGTATCCAACAAGCTGAGAAAGCGGATGCCTGTGGGGTGGGCTTGCTTCATTGAATTCGTATTACAAAGTACTAAAATTGCTCCTCTTATTTACTTGATAGAAAAATGTTTATTTCACGGTGGCACAAAACAACACACCTGCAAATGCATTGCTTAGCAGCCTGAAAAGGCAGTCAGCCCGATGCACTTTGGCATTTCCGTACGATATTCACTACAAAGCAACAAAATAATTAATATAAATACTGTATTGTATGCGAGCATGGTACATAACACTTCGAATGTTGTCGCTTGTACTATTTGGCCCTAGATAACGATGATCCCATCCTAATATGGAAAGCAGTATTTCCGACGAAAAACCTGCAAACTCATTTGGAGTAAAGCGAATCCTGTTGTATATTATCATAGCAGTTCTTGCAATATCAGTAATAATAAATATTCTTCTTGCGGTATTCGTGTCTCTACTGTCGAAAAGGACCGTGGCGGCTGAAGGTGGATGTACCAGAGCAGACGTGCTATTTCATTCTATGCTAAAGCAGTCATACAGATAGCCGAGATTTTTGTTCGTACTGTCATTTTCTTTAACGACAATCTCAATGAAAATTTAGGAGACAGGCAGCCAGTTTTGAATTACTTGAAGCCTGAATTTTTTCAACAGGTCCGAATGGCAGCACAGCGCTTCATCCAAACGGGACCATTCGAGGTATTGTTCCCCATGCAAAGCTGGGCAAAATGCTGCTTTTTACTAGGGTTTCATTACAGCGCGAGCGGCCAATGTGTCGGGGGAACCGATACAGAACAGCTATTGGGGACGACTGGAAATATTCCGTACGGCGTCCTTAACGGTGAAGTATAAGGGTTTCGTTGCTCCATTGTACCAAACACGTCAAGACCCAACGCTGTATTATTTTGCGCCAGCAATGATTTTTCTTCCGGGGAGTGCCAAATCTGTGCGCAACAATGTTGCGGGAAAATTCCAACTGGAATTCACTTTGCTGCTGTACGATGACTCGTACATCGCATACCTCAGAACTGCAGTCTTTAAGCAAGTAAAGGTCCGGGCCGAACTTCGTGTAATTCCTATTGAAGAGATACGTATTGACTCGGTTGGCACATTATCAACGGAATACGAAGTCGATAACAACTGGAAACCGTACACTCGTCACCCATCCCAAATGACCTTTCGGATTTTTTGTATAAACGAAGACGCATGCGTGTCCGCTGAAGATTACGCGACTTCGTTTCCGAGAGATTTTGTCTCTAATCTAGTTGTATTCATGAGCCTGCAAAGCCAAGTGAGCAACTCGCGTAGAGTGACCGTCAGCGCGGAGCACATCGCCAACAGTAAGCTGTTCACGGAACTTAATCAGCGCTTGAAGGGCAAAACTGAGGTGTACTTGAGCGATGATGACGCTAAACAGATGACCCAAGAAGTGTCCCAGAACATTATGGCATCGGAGGTTAGCGATGCGGAGTTTGTTAGCCAAGAATCGTCTCCTACCTTAATCGGGCTCATTGAAGCAGCGCTTCAGATGTCATCCGCTTCATCGGCGGGATTCGACGAACGGAAATGGGGATCGGTTTTCTGGCAAGATGACAATGCCCGTCCAGATAAAGTCACGTCACTTGTCAACGAAGTTTACGAAAAACTTGACCAAGAAACCAGAAACTTGATCAAGACGGCCGCTTCAAATACTACGGTGGACCATGTTTGCGTCGGCAAGAACGTTGCATCCGCAGCTACTGCAGCTACTACAGCCCCAGCAGCTTTGAAGACTACTACCGATGCGGATGCAGATGACGATGATGACGATGATGATGACGATACAACCAAAACAACGAAGAAAGGCGAAACAACTGGAACAACGAAGAAAGGCATAACAACATCCAAAAAGCCGACATCCAAAAAGCCTGCAGCAACAACAGCGAAAAAGCCTAAACCTACGACCTCCAAACCCAAACCAACAACTAAGAAAAAGCCACCAACAACAAAGAAGGCCCCGAAGCCAACACCAAATAAAAAACCCGCTAAAAGGCACCTCGAATCCAGTGATCAGTTTATAGATTCTAATTGGTACGACTGGTACAGCCGGGATATACATCAACTGCCATTTGTTCAGGATCGCCAGGCTGAAAGCCCTGGCGAATCTACAATAACGCTATCTACCCTCGGAGACGACCACACTGCAGATACCAATGACACTGGAGATATAACAGCGGAAAAAGAAGAAAATGAAGATGGGTTAAAAATAATTCTCGGGCTAATTGTACTGCAAGAAGTGGCACCTACAACGTATTTCAGCTTGCTCGCTGCTGGAAACAGTAGCACTCTAGACAACAATCAGCGCGGATGTAATTTATCAAAAGATGCTTTCACTGAGAATCCACAGTCGGTCGATCCAGATGTGATGAACGGAACTGGAAACAACAGCTTAGGCTTACCTTTGATAAACACCACATTTGATATCGCGGTGGCAACGCGATTACGTTCTGTTATGCAGGAGGTCACCACAGCGTACATGTTGGGAGAAGCTGTGGTCATGTCCATGAAAAATGGAACAGACGCATCGAATGAAACGGTGGAGATCCCGGGAGACGGTACTAAAAAATTTTGGTTGTTGTATACATTAATTCTGTACGCCAAAGGCTGCAGTAGGTTTGGTTTTTTAGAAGGGAATGAAGACGTGACGACAGCCGCGCCGGAGAACGACTATACATTGTCATCGGAGGAAACCAACGGAAAGGGTGACAGCAAAGCCCTGCAACACTGGAGTGGATTTGAATCAGAAATTCGTGGAAAATTCCAGCTCCATCAGCTAAGTGAACAGAAAGCCTCAGGTATAGAAGCAATAACTTTCTGTCAAATAAATTCTGAAAATCAGTTGAAGAAGAATGTCTGATTGGCTCAGTATCCTCTTCTTAAGGTTCATTGTACCGCGGTTTATGTTTGGAATTTGTTCTTTCTGATCAAATTTTTGAGTACTAATCTTGGTTTTCAGGGACATCTTCGAAGCCAAAAAGCAAATTAGCTTCTTACCTTCAGAATACAGCGTCTGCTGTCAGTTCATTCGTGAATCAGAAGGGCAAACTAGGTGACTGATACGACAACCTTTCAGAGGCGAATTGACACGCTTTGTTTGCTCATCTTTAGGAAGCGCAAGTAAGCCCGCCAAACCTAGCGCCATCATCACCGCCATCACTAACATTGGTTCCGCCATCAAAAACAGAGGTCTGAACTCTGTAGTGCTGAAATCTACGTCCTCGAAACTTTTGTACTCTCTTTCAGATAACTCCACAAAGGTAATAAATGGGGTTGGAAGTCTGCTATCGCTCAGCGCTGCCGTCAGCAGTGTACTGGTTAAACCCGGTAAGCATGTTTCATGTTTAAATCGCAGCAGCTGCTTATTAGCTAATCGATGCTTCTCCTTACGCAAATATATTAATTTGTATGGATTTCATCTAGATAATACAAGCTCCAACGGGGCGAAGTTCGCCAGTTCTCTGCTTAATAGCGCTGCTTCGGCATTTCAAGCAGTTTACCAAACCACAAAAGGAACAAGTATGTTTCTTAGCACATACAGATACTTCGACACTGTAGGGTGGCTAAGTACTATTAAAAGATACACATACGCACCCCAGATGCTTACTGTAATTGCTTATCTATTCATGCAAAAATTTGATAATAAGAAAGATAACTCTGTTATTTATTTCTACAAGTATGGTTACGTCGGCTAAGGTCGCTTTTCTGCCGTGTTTCTTTTCCCCTGCAGTCTGCATGATTCGGTCTCACCTTTTTCCTCTCTCTATATAATTACTTACCAAAATTTTTTCAGCGAAGACGCCGTCAGCAGCCAGTCAGTCTTCTACAGTCGGAGCAGCCAAAAGTACTACCGAAAGGCCTAGCAGCGCTACCACCGAAAAGGGCACGGCCGCTACCAGTCCAAATGTTTCCCCTGACCAGACGGCGGGAAAGCCAGCGGTGTATTCCTGCACAGACGGCCCACCTGTGACCACATCTAGCAGTAAGGAACTGGACGAATGGAACAGGCTGATGACAGAAAAGCGCAACGTTGTGAAATGGAAAGGGGAAAAATTTGAACCCAAGGAGTTAAGTCTAAAGCGAGTCAATTTAGCTCATATGTCGTCAACAACGACAATCCATTCTCAGCAAGTTCGCATATCCACCGCTAGTGCGGTAATGAAAACTAACATCAACTTCATAATTCCTGAAGAGTCTGAAGGGGAGGAGTACCCAAATCGGAGCAACGCAGAAGTATTTTTCGTGCGTTCAAATTCATCTTCTACGGGATTTTCGTATGACGATGCTGAAAACATCTGTGCAGTGCTGGAAGCAGATTTAGCCACTCTGGAGCAAGTGAAGAAAGCTTTTCTGAGAGGAGCACAGTGGTGCTTTGTTGGCCATGTGCAAGGCAACAGGTTGAGTTACCCAGGTAGACTTTGTTCGCGTGCGCTACAATCAGAAATGCCGGGAACGCGTACTGCTGCTGTCTGCAGTCGAGAGCTTGGACATATGCCAGGACAAGTGCATGAAATGACAAACCTAGAGCCAAGCGCGGTTGTACCTGTGGCGACCTGCATAGGTCAGAAACCGCCACGGGACAGTGTATTCTTGTATGATAAGCAGCAAATTCTGATCGGACCGTTCAACTCAACTAGATACAGTATGTACGGCGATATGGCAGAAATTTATACCTATTAACATCAATATTTTGTGGATTTCACATAAATATTTACATGAAAATGTATAATCAAACAGTTCGCGCTTTCTGCTTTCTGTGCAACGGTACATAGAGTATTTCGTAGTGATGGTCTGTTCGATAGAATAATATCGTAAATATCAATCCTACCGACCTGACTCGACGACAGGATTAACTACTGTAATAATCCTAGTGTGGCATTACTAAATAGAAATAATGCTAAAGCTACGATGTACGTGAAGCGAGAATCTGACACTGCATTCCAACGATAAATTTATTTACTATTTCTAAATTCCGACACTCTAAACTTTCCTTTTTGGTGTTGTTTAAGCGTAGCGTCATCACAGAGACCATGTCTCTGTATTATCCTTAACCTATCTGAAGCCTAGAGAGGGCAACTGCTCCACTGCAAGGACAATAAACTTTGATTTATTCACTGCCAAACTCAGAAGGAGAACTGTAACGTGGTAGAAGTATTGCCGGTTGAAGTCTTCGTATGATTATCATTTTTTGAGGATTATTGAGTTTTACGTCATTGACGCTATCGTGCATGATACTGTATTTTATTATGACATCAAGAGTTGCATGAACCAGGATTAATCTGATTGTCAAGCAGATTGTTATCGTAAGTCCGAAAATTTATATTTTTTTGTGGTTTGTTATCTATTTTCTGCATATTCCCAGCTTATGTCAAAAAATAAAACTCTCCCGATGCCATTTTACGTGGATGTGGATTGCAGAAAGTTTGAACCGGCACCGAACGCCTTCAGTTACCGCGATCTGGTGTTTTACTGTTGCAAGCATTCGTGAAACAAGTCTCCATTTCGGTAAAATAAAATGCTTCCGACAGGTTATTCGGATCGCTGTTAGCGAAGTTTAGAGTTCCATTTAAATACATCCTCGTTATTGGTGATCCATCGGGGAAACCACAGTCTCTTTTAACAGTTCCAGACCCTGCAAAACGCTTGCCTAATTTTGGCTTTCGTTGCTCATTTTGGCTGGCAGTATTTTCTTGGTGAATGCTCCGCGTATCACCTTTTCACCACCGTTGGCGCCTAATGCCACCTTTCTACCACCTTTCTCAGTTGGCTCCTCATACCACATTTTGCACGCCACTTTTGACCCCGCATGCCACCATAAATTTTTTTAAACTTTTAATAAAATATTAAAATAAATCTGTTTGGACAATTGGATCGGTTTCTACGGTGACCTGTTCTACGGCTTACACGGTCTGATTTGCCGCCACATTATTATCGCCACATTAGAGAGAATCATTCAGTTATTTTAGATGTCAAAATCTAATATAAAATGGGTTGATAAGTAAAAGTATCAAGAACTACTAAATAATTGGTGGTATGCGGAGTCAAAACGGGTGTGCAAAGGTAGTATTAAAGCCAAATGTGGTAGAAGGTGGTATGTGGAGCCTTCACCTGTTTTCTTTGGGCGCGCAAGGAAAACATAGTTAAACTGGCTAATGGTTGATTGCGAAAAGGGCCCATCAGCCGTGTAACTGGAATCATCAACCTTTTTGCCGGATTTCGCAAAAAGGTCGATACTACGAGTACGAGTACAAAAACCTTTCCGTAAAACTGGATGTACCATTCTGCCGGTGGCACCTTATAGGCGCTCGTTGAAAGGCTCTCTTTAAAATTTTCACAAACGACATATTGACGCACTGTTTACATCACACTTAAAGCACTGCTTAAAGCTTTTGGGAAGGAGTAAACCCCCAAAAATCAGGAGACCGTATGGGCGATCGCTCTGGATCTTCGATTCTTGGATTAGAGGGTTTCATATTAAGATAGCCTAATTTTGTTGAATCATCCTGTCCCCTCCAAAAAAACAATACCTTATAACCATATATAAAAAACCGATAAAAATGCGCAACAAAGGCTGTGGGAGATGTTTCTTGACAAATTTAATGGCAACCTCGCGGCGGGTCTTTTCAGAATGCTAAAGTGCAGACTTCGACACCACTTGTACCGCCCGAGTTAGTTTGTGGTTTCTGATGACTGTTGCAACTGTGAAATCAAAGGAAACAGCCACCAGTCCGGCGGAATGGTTGTTAAGATTACGCCAAAAAGTTAAAGTATTTGAGGTGCCGACCAAAAAGGTTGATGCAGTTTTGCTGGAAAGGTAGTTTACGAAACATAAACCTTTCCATATTCCGGTGGAAAGGTTGACGCTCTTCTTTAACCTTCACCCGTTCACCTTTCTGCCAGTGACAGGCGTTTTTATTTAGCTAGTTCTGCAGTGACTGTTTCGATTACCAGAAGGAGAAGAAAATTATTGCTTACCGTTTGAGTCTGATCCGATCGCGAACTGGGTGTTTAAGTAAATACAGTAACTGGTTGTCTTTGGACAACTAATTATTTGGTGTGGTCTGATTTCAGAACAAGCGTCCATGTTTTCTACTCTGCATTTATAGCATTCCACGGAAAATGCTACCAACACATCAATTTTAAACTGGATAAACCCATAAAAAAAGGAAATGTCGAACTACTTGTTGGGTGTTAACTTACTTTGCACAATCATGCTGCCAAAAACGAAGAGAACCTGCAGCCCCCAAAGGTTTGAATGTGGAGATAATGGGCCCATGATTGACGGACATGAATCATTCAACGAATTAAAGCACTCAACAAATGAACATTTTCAGACATCTGTGCAAAAGTCCTCGGAAATCTGGAAAACAGGTTCTCCTCATGCGGAAACGGTCATGTGCTCTTATCAGTACTATCCTACTGTTTAAAGGCTTATTGTAGCGACAGACAACAGTCAGACCGCAGAATGTGCGTAGGACTACAAAGTATTGTGTACGGAAAATTAGCTTACGTGCAGCGCGTATAGGCACTAATGCCCACGGATTTGCACGAACAGTGAATACGCTGCTGGTCTGATATTTTCCCGTACACAACTTGCAATTGAGAGATGGCTTGCGTTGGGAAAGATGGGTTAGGAAACAAAGCCGGGTTATACGGAAGGGCTGTTACCAGGGGCCTAGTGCTGAATCTGCTGATGTTGAATTTGACAAGTAATGGGATTCGGTAATCATCTCTATCTAAGATTCATTAAAAGCTTCGTGCAGATTAAACCTTTGAAGTTACTATACTTTTTTTAAAAATATTTTATGACAATTATGTAGATTTCTATTAAGTGGTTGTGACTTGTGAACAAAAGTGTAAATGGTCTGAGATTCAGAAAATTTATTTAAAATTTAGTACTAGTGCAATTATAGAATGTTTTAGAAAGGTCAACGCTGAATTTTTGAATTCAAAATTACTGTAGCCCCTAGACGAACTTGCACCACTTTCAGATCCGGCCTCTGCCTGCAGGCCCTGCACCCTGCCGGTTATTTAGCATGATGCCTCCCCCCACCAGGCAGCGCACACGTTGATTTAAAAATTTTACCAGCTGAACTGTGAAACCTCAACCCCAGCCAGGGGCACCCCAAAAACCACAACAGTTGTGGGTTTACACTTGAATAATACAGTTTCAGATCTCTGCATTCGCTTCTTTTAATTTGTGTTGCCAATACTTAAAACAAAAATTTGGCTGGTTCTAAAACAGCGCCAAGGAACGGCTGGAAATTAAAACAAAACGCCATATATTTTCGCAACGTGCACTAATAGACCGCGTGGGATAACAAAGTGCCGCTCGTGGCAAAATTCAAACGGATACGAAAATTCGAATTCCGCCTCCACCTCAATCGGCATTTTCAGTTCATTTTGGCAAGCCGTTTCAGGTCGCTTACACAGCTGTGCGATTTGTAATGCCATAATTGAGCACAAGCAGGACGCGCGGCGCTTACGCGCCCACGGTTTCAAACGCCTTAAAAGTGTGGGCACCGCAAGCGTGGCCTTCGATGACCAAATGCTTAATAAGGCGGGTACCGCACGCGCGGTGATCAAAGGCTTAAACGGCCTTCGGTGACCAAAGGCTTAAAGGGCCTTCAGTGACCAAAGGCTTAATAGGCCTTCGATGACACCAAGGCTTAAAGGGCCTTTGGTGACCAAAGGCCTTCGTGTAACCAAAGCTTGAAAGGCCTTCAGTGACCAAAGGCTTAACAAGGTGGGTGCCGCACACTTGGCCTTCGGTTACTAAAGGCTTAAAAGGTGGGTAACGCAAGGTTTGTTAAGACACTAATGTCTTGAAGCTTAGTAAGGACTAGCGCTTAAGGTGGGATCCGGTTTATCAGGCGAAGGTTTATACAGGTGAAGGTATTATGAAGCTAAGTAAGCACAAAGGCGTAAAAACACATGTTTAAGTGGTTGCAAAAGCTTAAAAGCCGCCAGGCCTGTTCCGGCCAGTTAGAAACGTTAGGCTGTTTCTGGTCAGTCAGAACGTCTGGAGGCAGGAGCGTTCCGGAGTTACGGTTCTGCTTTAATATATGAACAAGCAAAGCGCGGGGCGCTTACGCGCCGCGCTGCAGTGCAAAGGCTGTTCCGGTCAGCCAACAGTTCCAAGTAAACAGGTTTCTAAATTTCAATAAAATCGAAAAGGTTTTAGCCGGGGCCAGGTTTATACAGAAAGGCTTCAGCTGCGGAAGATTGAAAAAGTTGATTCCGCAAACGCACATTTCGGTTGTGTGATGTACTGTAACCTTGCGGTTGGCAACGGTATGGTTGTCAACCTGGATGTACGTGCGCAGGTCACTATTTGACCATCAGTTGACTGCCGGCGATGATGAAGTAAAGTTGTATTTTTATGAATACATGATATTGGCGTGAAGGGCTCAGATCTTTTAAAAAGGCAGCTATGTCTACGGCTACGGGTAATACTAGTAGTACCGCACGTCCTCCATCACTATCCGCAGCCACTGCTGCTGCCCGAGCGGAAGGGGGAAAGGGACAACAATTATTAAGGATTATGCCGTTTCACCCCGCCACGATGGAATGGCCGTACTGGAAGCTAAGATTGAAGAATCAACTCTTCCTAATCAAAGTACCGACGGATTACCATGTGGCCTTTCTTCTGGATGCTCTGAGTCCGGAGCCATTCAAACTTTTGGCAAAGATGTGCAAGCCGCAGGAACCGATGGATCTACCGATCGCCGACCTATACGCACGCCTGGATTCTGCTTACACTGTACCGACAATGTGGATCGCCCAGTGGGTGAAATTCTTCAGTACAAAGCAGAAGCCGGAAGCGACCTTGATCCAGTTTTCGTGTGATTTCGGGCGAAGGCGGAGACATGTCACTTTCCGGACGACGTAAGGGAGAAGAATATAATTGCAGCATTCGTCATGGGGCTGAAAGATGAAGTGGCGACGAAGAAGCTCTGTACAAAGTCGTTGGCAACACTTCAGGACGCCTGGAATGCCGCCATTGAAATAGAAATGACCAGAAAAGAGTTGCAAATGGACGATATGAAAACGGAAGTCAACAAGATTTCCCAGAAAGGAAGAAAGAACAGTCAGGGTGCCGGGAAAGAGTGTTACCGGTGTGGCCGCCGCAACCATTCCCCGGGCAGGTGTTACTTCCGCGACAAGCGGTGCAACACTGGTGATGAAAAAGGGGGACACATCACGCGTAGCCGTCAGTTACAGTTACAAAGGTTTAAAAGAGCGGGCACCGCATGCGTGACATTCGGTTACGAAAGGCTAAAATGGGTGGGTACTGCACGCGGGGCCTTCGGTGACCAAAAGCTCAAAAAGGCGGGTTCCGCACGCGGTGCCTTCGGTGACCAAAGGCTTAGGAGGCATTCTTTGACCAAAGGCTTGAAAAGCTTTCGGTTACCTACGGCTTAACGAACCTTCTGCGTAAGAGAAAAAAAGTAGATTCCGCAAATGTACGTTTAAGTTGCAAAAGCCTGAAAATTTTCATGCGGCACACTTACCTTTCAGTTACAGAGCCTAAATGGTTTCATCCGGCACACACATCTTTCAGTTACACAGTTCACAGGGTATCAACCGGCACACGCACGTTCTATTTACTAAGCCAATAAGGTTTCATCAGGCATACGCACCTTTCAGTTACACTGTTTAGATGCTGTCATCCGGCACACGGACCTTTCAGTTACACAGTTTAAAGGGTTTCATCTGGGATCTGGTTCATCGGATGACTTCAGAAAGTCTAAAAGGCTTTACAGCGCGCGGTAGTTTTGGCTGATCGGGTAGTTCTAGTTGATCTGGTAGTTACAATGGACGCCAAAATTGTCTTACACTTATGTAATCACAAAACTCGCGCAACCAAGCAGTTTTCCGTACTCAGCCAGCCAAATTTTTGACTGGCCATCGGCCTGCTGACATTTACACTTGCACCTTGCGCATTTCCCAACGAAAACCATCGACCAATATTTCAAACGAATGAGGAAAAAATTTCAAGAATTTTGATACCAAACAAGGTGTTCTTTATAAGATCTAAGAGATAATCCAGGCATCTAAAGTTTCTCGTAGACATAGCATAGGATTTGCATCTGCGGTTTGGTTTCAGTTTTCATACAGAAATCGTATGCTTTGTCTACGACAAACTAAAATGGCTCGATTTTCTCTTAGATCTCATGAAGGATAACCCGTTTGGTATCAAAATTCTTGAAATTTTTTTGTCTTTCGTTTGAGATACTTCTATGGCTTGATGGTTTTCGTTAGGAAATACGCCAGGAACAAGTGTTCGTATTCTTGCGCGCTTTCTGTTTATTGGTCATTTGGTCCTGGCCATTTATTTTTATTGGTCATTCGGTCCGGGACCGAATGTAAGAGAATTTTGGCTTCCATTGTATGATTTATCTGGCAGATCTGGCTAATCTGTTAGTTCTGGCTGGTCTGCTTGATCTGGTAGTTCTGGTTTATCTGGTAGTTATGTTTTATCTGGCAGATCTAGTTAATCTGGTAGTTCTGGCTAGTCTGCTTGATCTGGTATTTCCGGTTTATCTTGCGGATCTGGTGTTTCTGGCTACTCAAGTAAAAGTTTGCAAAGGCACTAAGGTTTCGAAACCTTAGTAAGGCGAAGGTTGAATGTAGGTCTAGTTGTTCTGGCTGAATATTTCGTACAGACTCTAAGGTTTCGAAAGCTTAGTAAGAGTTTAACGCTTGAAAGCCAAAAGGTTGGTTCTGGCCAATAGGAAAGTATCTGCTGGTTCTGGCCAATCCGAAAGGTTTGGAGGCGGTCGGGTGACCCACAGACATTTCTGCTTTAATATAAGAGACAAGCACAGCGCGCGGCGCTTACGCGCCGCGCTGCAGTGCAAAAGCGGTTCTTGTCGGCTGGGCTCTTTTTGCTAAACGAATCGAAGTGAAACAGTTTTATATGCTAAATAAGTCTTATTGAAAAAGGACTACAGTTACTGTATAAAAAATGGGTTAAACCGAAATTCTTCTGCTACCAAACGCTTAAAAGCGTAAACAAATAAGGCGTAACCTTCGGTAATGTCAGGGCGGGCTTATGATTCAGCCCTTCTGTCATTGGTTGGTTTTGGGTTTTTTTCTGTCTGGGCATATTCATGCGTTTTGACGGCTCTGTAAGGCAGCTGCGCTGCCTACAGAGACCAGTTGGTTTTGGGCTGGCGCGCAAGCGCGGTGTGTGTCAGATTTCGGCATTAAAGCCTTCATCCGGGTTTGCTTTGTTCCGCCGTCGATGGTCGGTGCGCGCCTAGCCAGCGCCACCTGACATGGTAGCAGACTCGTTCGGTTTTCCTTCCGACGAGACCTCTGATCCCCAGTGAAGGCATCGGTCGAACTACGCTGATCGCCTATAAGTAGGCCAGCAATCCCGCGACCAACATCTCCTGCATCATACAGGCTTCATTGGAAGCCTGCTGCGCGACGGATTATTCATACGGGTCGGCGCCTAAAAGTAGGTCCCCCGCAGCTTTGGCTCCCCGCTCAAAAACTGAGTTGGGTACGTCCCTGTTGACCAAATAAGCGCCCTACCGGGTTGCATGATACGGGTCAGCGCCTAAAAGTAGGCCTCCCGCAGCTTTGGCTCCCGGCGCAAA